AGAAAGAAAATTATAAAAGCGAAATAAGAAAGAAAGAAGGAAATATTAACAATTGAGTGAAACGAATGAAAGAAAGAAAGAAAGAATGAAAGAAAGAAAGAAAGAAAAGAAGAATATTAAGAAACCTGTAGAAAGAAATTGAGAAAGAAAAAATAAGGAAGAGAAAGAAAGAAAAAAAGAAAGAATCAAAGAAAAATTAGAAAGAAACAAAGAAAATTAAGAAGACTGTAGAAATATAATCAAGCAATTAAAAAAAGAAAGAAAAGAATGAAAGTAAATATAAAGCAAAAAGGGAAAGAAAGAATTAAATAACAAACCAGTAGAAAGAAAGAAAGTTAAGAAAGTTAGAAAGAAAGACAGAAAAAAAAGAAATATGCAATTTTATAGAACCGTTGCCCTGATTTCTCGTATACTTTGCATTAATTAAACAGTTGAATAGTAAAATAAACAACTGTGTCCTTTTAAATGACGACATGGATGGTTGATATTGATCAGATGACTTAAGTTTAAAAATCATTTGCTCTGCACTGAACGCCTGAGAACATAAAATATGAACTGATAATCTCATATGACCCCAACCGCTTCTCCCCATTCCTTTCTAAAACCAAACAATCAGCTGACTGGTGAGATTTGAAGTTCTATTCATAAAAAGCGAATATTTTTCTCAATGGAAAGTGCACGCGGGAAAAAAAGCCACTGTTTTTATCCTTAAATGATAATGGGATGAAGAAAAGACTTGAAGCAACAGCAATGTGGTTCTATAGAAAGATGCTGACAATACCATGACTGGAACATGTGAACAAAGTCAAATTCCTAGACACAATGACAACAAAAACCGCACTTATACTTAACATCACGAAGAGACAGTTGGAATTTCTAGGTCACATAAATAAGTAAAAGTAGGCTTGGAAAATTTGTTACTCACAGGACAGGTAGAAAGTAAAGGTGACAGATAAAAGCAACTCAACCTACCTGGCGAGCTTGAGTGAATGGATGGCGGCATATAGAAGAGGAAGAACGGCGAAATTGACTGTTTCCTTATAAGGAAACATTCGACATTCATTGACCGAACAGTTAGCGTTTCTATTGGTTGGAATTTATAAAAAGATTCGCTTAAACAGTGTTTCACGAAAATAGGTTTCTCAAGTCCACTAACTGTCATAGCTCTTTCTACTATTCGTTTCTTCCCCAATCTTTTGTTTAATGCAATGTGGAAAGTTAATATCTTGATTATATCATTATTTTCTTTTCTAGTTCCATGTACTATCCATTTAAGTTGCAGCCTCTGTTGGAAGTCATCATTTGGTAAAGTTCTTTGTTTGTGATTCTGTAGCGCCAGTCTGTAAGATCTGTTGAAGGATTATATTCATTAAAACCTAGACGATTCACTTGAGAAACCCTTTTAAATGATTGGTCTGAGAGAAAAAAACTGTTGTATATGTAACACCGTATCCTCACTCCACTGGACCCACGCCCTCCACAAGACCGGCCGTTGGTCCGGTATGGTCCAGTATTACAAGATAGACACAAGTCTTCGGTTCCCAATGTCAATTCGAAGCCACCCTCCAGCCACGTTGTGATTGTTTTGATGTTGGAGAGTGATCATCAGATCGCAGAAATCCGGAAGTTCTCCGTTGGCCCACCTGCAAGTTCGTCGGGTGAGAATCGGGTTAAAAGAAAATAAATATAACCAACTCGATTCGATTTTGAAAGGACAAAAGTTTTTTTTAATACAAAAGCAAACACACAAAAAATAATTCTTGTTGCACAAGGTTGAATGTTTCTTGTATGTGAACAATAACCCCCCACCAAAAAAAAAAAAAAAAAGAAAATTACAAATACTTCGAATAATTTCGGTAAGGAGAGATATGGTCTTCGTTTTAACTCTTTTTAGTCTGTTCTTAGCGCAACTACTACAACCTTCGATGTTTCCGTTCTCAGTTGTAGTGATAGTAGTAGTAGTAGTATTAGTAGTAGCAGGAGTAACGGTACTTAGATGTTAGTGGCAGTATTTCGCTTCTTCACCCTCAGCTTCAGCAGCACACAGCGGACGCTTGCTTTTCAATCTCTGACGTTTCTTCACTCTGTTCGACTGTATTCGAAGACTGACGAAACCAAAGCTCTGCCTCCTCCGGTTGGCTCGCCTCTTTATTACGAGACCCGACCTCCCTGTCCCAGACTGGTGAGGTGTCTGTTTTTCTAGTGCGAACGTACTGACATACTACCAAAGTTAAATTTCATTCCTCCGAGAATAAACAATTTACTTTTTCATCGATTGGTTTCCAAGGTTCACAACAAGGCGCTATTGTTTATCACCTGGCTATTAATTATTCTGCAGCTTTTTGTAAACTACAGAGAGTCTTGTTTGAGAAATAAATTCTAAATCAAAACATCTTTTAGTTTAACTTCGATTCTTATAGTGTTAAAATCCATTTCTTTTTTTTAAAGCTCCAAATTATTATTGTTCCAGTAATTTCCTATTCGTAATCTAATATCCTTTGTACACTTGCAAAATGATTGTATTTCGTGTTCTAAGTTAACTTTCTGTAACATTTACATTTCAAAGTCTTTACAACATATTAACATCTTGGTTATTCGAAAACGCTTCACTTGGTGTTTTCTGTTTTACCGCATATCCTTCTTATAGTGGAAGACACATATTCTATAGTTAATAGACTCTCCCACATATAATAAGTAGGAGTAGTAATAGTAACAGGGAGTCAGTCAGTCAGTCGGTCAGTCAGTCAGTCGATGTCGGACGACAGTTAGTCGAATACTAAATTATCAGCGACCACAACTAGATTTACTCTGCGTCATACCTATTATATGAAGTTCCTAACGTTTTGTAGGTCGAACCTATTTTAGGACCGACTTAGTACAAATACAAGCCTCCACTGTGAAATCCCTCCACAATACTTCTTTATTATCATTATTATTATTTCAGGGGTGATATCGCCTGTGCCACATATATAGATTAGAACTCAAGGTTACATCGAGATATTTTAACAGTACAACGATGAGATCTTGTTATTCATCTAGTCATACGCTTAAAATTATGCGGTCGAGGTACCAAAGATTATTCTAATGAGTGGAATTGCCATGAAAATATTTATAGAAAAGACAGAGGGGAGTCACGGCGGTGTGAAAGTGATTGAAGCTGAGATGCTTAGATTAGGTTAGATTACAAATCTTTATACATCCTTCAATAGATTTTTATCGAGAATCTCGAGACATCTAACAGAAGCAGATGGGGCAGCAATATTAAATACGAGGACAAATTGAAGTTTTATAAACATATAAGATCGATTCTAGCGGGAAAAATTATCTGGCATGGCACAGTGAACCAATTTTCTTAGCAACAGACGTAGAAATTGATTCAATATAATAATTCCACTTCATGTCAGTGGACAACGTGAGCCCAAGATGGCGCAATGAGTTGATCTATTGGAGGTTAGCATCAGCCATACTAATTAAAGGCAAAAATGATTTTTGCCCCAATAAACAATTGGACGCCATTTTCGAGTACAGCTGCCAGATTTACTTTATCGCAACAATCAGACTTGCTGAAAATCTCATATCGATATATGATATATATGATAGGGTTTGTTGACGGTTAAAATTCCCGCGAGAAAAAAAGAAAAACTAGAATATATTGGGGTTTTTCATTTGTCGGTAAATTGCCAAATCAACATCTAGTGAGATTTCATGACATAAAAAGTTTATTTTTTCCAAAATTGTTTAGTGAGAATGTTGGATTGGTAGCGAAAAAAAAGCTAGGATGGGAAAGTTCTCTCACTAACTTTCACCTTCTTCGTCACTGACAAGTAGTCTGCAAAATTTTCCTACTTAGGAACAATAACATTAGCTAATAGAGGCTATATGTGTTGTATTACTACAAAAAAAAAAAAAACACACAAAAAAAAAAAACAAACAAAAAAAAACACTTTCTCCTGGTGAAAAGACGATTGATTTGACTTTCAGTTAAAAAAACAGAGTGCGAATTTTATGTATTGGCTTGAAGAGAGCTGTGATGACTAATTCAGTGACACAATTGGTACGATCCACTACGGAACAATGAGTGTAGTCGTACAAGCAACAGTTCGAGTCAAATATGATATCGTGACAATGTCACATTAAGACAATAATTAAAAAATAAATAAATGCCGGACTGCTTAGAGTCTAGGGTGACGAAAATCTAGTTGCAGTAATGGACAAGCAAAAAAAATTTTAATGAATTATAGTAAGATGTATTGAAAAGAGCTTGTATTAAAAGAGTTGAAATTCAATTCATATTAGTCAACAATGCACAAACCTTTTAAAAATATTCGCCTATAATGACATGGGAAAATTATAGAACAATTCTCATATGAGTCTATGCAGAAACATCTTTCATATGGTTCTGTGTTGGGCAACTTGAGCATCCTCATCCGTAACTAATGAATATTTGTCTATATTTCTGGGATGTGGTATTGTAACTATTTATACATGGACCAGTGGATAAAAGCGTTGGTTGAAGTAATCCAGTGACTTGACCCCAAAGAGTTGTGTAGTTCAATACCTGACCACAGTAAAGGTGAACAAAAACTTGCAGAGTTGAATTACTAAAGGGAAATAACTGAACCTGAAATATCCAGAGAAGGCGTGGAACTAGGACCTAGAACAATATACCCCTGTGGACAAAGTAAAGGGTTCGGTTCGAAATTCCAACGTATATCACCTGAAGAAGACCGGCGCGTACAACGGCCGAAACATCGTGAAACTTGATGATTTTTTTATTTAGCTTTTCTAATATTTTTTCGTTTGGTGGGAATAAGAAAGTGTAAAAATTGTCCGTATTGTCCCAAAAACTTTCGGCACTTCATTAGCCATTTTCATGGAGATTTTGTTGCTAAGCGTTTTTAATTTCTTTTCATTTTGTCTGTTTTTGTGGTGTCAAAATAGTAGTAGGTTTATTCCGAGCCTCGCCATTTCCGCTGCTCAATGACGAAAGTTGATTAACGATGTATTCGCCGACTTCAACTGAACGAATTTTTTCTTATGTGAATGGAGACGGAAAGATGGAATCATTCTAATAAATTGGACCCCAACTGACCAGGAGACTTAATTTTTATACATCACACCAGACTGTCACGTGACACATTTTTAAACTTTGACCTGCACAGCTATACCAAATGCTGACAACTAAATGTTTTAACGCTACAGCACTATTTCTTGATTGTGCTTGAGGGGGTGACCGACATTTTATTATCTATCTATCTATCTATCTATCTATCTATCTATCTATCTATCTATCCCTTCATTCTAGTCATATCTATCTCAGTTCATATCTATCTATCTATCTATCTATCTATCTATCTATCTATCTATCATACCTACGGCGATAATGGATATGTCCTCATTCACATAAATACAGTAGTAAATACTGTATGTTCGTCTGCCGTTGGAGATTCGCCTCCAGCTGTACTGGTCAAACTCTGCCTCCAACCAGCGAGGATCCCTAGAAGAGACTATGTCGAAGAGCAGAGTCTCGTCTCGAGAAACAGCTACCCGATCCCGTTTTATACGGAGTCTACGGGGAAGGCTCGGATACCCCACATTAAATTCGGCCTTGTGCCACATCTAACCGTGTGAGCGGTTGGTAGATACCCTGCAGTTGGCGATTCATTGTGTAATTCACTTGACTCACTTCTGGCAGTTGACTATTACTTCTACACGCCATGTTGTTCTTGTCCTAACTATTATCGTTCATTACCAACCTTCGTTTGATTATTCTATTCCGTAACCTTCCCTAGGTTACAACACTATCTATCTATCTTTCTTCATAGTTGGGTTAAGAATGACCTTGAACAGATAATGTCTTTTACGAAATGTTCCATGACTTAGGGCTCAAGATAAACCTTTCCAAAACAGATCTATGATTAGGAATTTGAATGAAAGCAGTGATGGCACCAATCCTGAATCCATCAGAAAAAAAGAGGATGGGGAATTAGTAAATACTAAACTCTTCAAATACCTCGGTAAATATGGATCAGTTATGACAAATTTAGTCGAGGAGATAAGAAAATTGAACACACAGTAGGCTACACTAAAGTTGATTTCGTACAACACTGCAAATTACTATAAAACCAAAACATTAACTAACCTGAAAACTCAAGTTATGTTCTTAAATATCCTTGTGAGGTCGAGACTTTCATAATGCATGACGTCAAAAAATATCCAAACTGTCAGCTATATACAACCGCTTTCTTTGGTCAGTGGTTAAAATGGCTTGAGCGTGTGTAGAGTGTGGGTATTGGCGAAGACCATGCTTCTTCGAATATTGTGGACTGGCGCTACGGAATCATAAAGAAAGAACTGTACCAGATAACAGAAACCACATCACTTGAGGACTTTCAACAGCAGCAACAACTAAAATGGATTGCACATATAACTCAAAGAGAAAATAATGACATAATCAAGATGTTGATATTCCATACTACTTCAAATAAAAGGTTAGGAAGGAAATCCCCATTAATGCTGGTAATGGTTTATTTAATTTTTCTAGGGATCTTTTTAACGCTACATTTTCATTCCTGCTGATCGATCTTTACAAAAATGGGTTATTTTACATGCGTTTGAGCAGAAAATGACAGATGGAGATGCGCCCCATAAATCTTTTCCTCGTTAAATCATGAAACATTCAATCGTAGTAATTCAAGTATCGAAGTCATTACAAATGCTTTATAACGCGTATAAAAGATATGAGAAATATTTCTGCAAGGTACCGTGATGTCACCTGTTATTATTTTCAATCATATATTTTGATTTGGTCATCATCAACGACTATTGGGAGCCTAGCGAATCACTTGAGAAGAGCCGTCTCTGCTACGACACCATCTCTATAAACGGCGCTTATCCTTTTGGCTGTTTCTACAGAATCTTTTCCTTTTCGGAAACAAAAATGACTAAAATGTATCTTATTTTCCTTCATTTTCACTTTTAACGTAAAGGCATTTAATTTCGCAATCTACACGCAAAACATAGAAAAACGTATTGAAATACCACCTTTCCGAATTCGCATATATGTAATACATTTCAGTCACGTTTGAATCATATGTCCAAACGTCACTTGTTGAAAAGCGCTTAAACTTTTGTTCCAACACAATATCTATCTATCTATCTATCTATCTATCTATCTATCTATCTATCTATCTAGCCAGGTCTGTTCATTTTCTATCTATCTATCTATCTATCTATCTATCTATCTATCTATCTATCTATCTATCTATCTATCTATCTAAGCCTGGTCATCTATCTATCTATCTATCTATCTATCTATCTATCTATCTATCTAGCCAGGTCTGTTCATTATCTATCTATCTATCTATCTATCTATCTATTTCTAGCTAGCTATCTCTTCATTATATATCTCAATCTCTTCATTATCTCTTTCTCCTTATTAAACTCTCTATTCTATTCTATCTCCGCTCCACCTTTCTCTATCTATCTATTTTCAACAGTCTGTTCATTATCTCTTTCTCTTCATCTCTCTCTCTCTCTCTATCTATCTATCTATCTATCTATCTATCTATCTATCTATCTATCTATCTATCTATCACTCCCTTTTTCTAGCTCGAAGAAATGGCTTTAACCAAAAGGCAAATGGATAACATCTTTTATCCTCGTTTCACTAGGTTCCGGAACGTTGTTTTAATATCCGCATATTTTAGTCTTTCCGGGTTTTGTTATGGCATATATCCGTTCATAAAATATCAAATTATGCCAAACTCTTGTTTACGCTGCAAATTATGCTTACAGAATTCGACTAAATCAGCATTTTTAAATATTCCATTTGCCGACTCAGAATATTAAAAGCAAATTCTTGTGTTAAATATTAAATAAAACGATAAGAACAATGAAGCATTCACAGGAGGCCTGAGCCAGTAACTTGATATTTTTTCATTCGAGATTTCCTTCCGGTGGCAGTAGGCAGTGTTCAAGCGAATGGAAAACTGACCAAGTCTTGTCAGTACCGAGATGGGTGACCACTTGGGAATATAAGGTGCTTTTTGCTGTTATGCGCTGAAAAGGAAATGTTAGATGAATTGGATGCAGATGCAATTATTGGCAGATCTACACAATCATCTAGTGAACATAAATGATTATTCTTAATATTGTAAACTGCATGCAATGCTCTGTTGTGCGTTTGAACTATGCGTTAATATGTAAATTGTACAGTAAACTATTTGAAAATATCCTCCAATGCAAAATGCAAAATGCAAAAAAGTAAAAAGAAGTAATTTATAATATTTTATATTTACGTTTAATTTTATCCTGCCACTGAATTTTTAACTTTTGTTTAACCATAGACATCTATGTCATCAGTTTTCAACTTGATATCTATACTAATGACACAACTATTTACTCTGATCAGTTCGATAAATCCAAATTGGTAGCTGATCTAAAAAAATGATCTTCAATTTGTTGTTAACTGGTGCAAGAAATGGCTTGCTAATTGTAACACCTCCAAAACGCATATCTTCTCTTTTAATCGTATTAGAGAACCTATTTTCCTTCCATCAGCATGGCTGATGTTAACTTCTAGGAGAGTGACTCATTACACCTTCTTGAGTTAACGTTTTTCGCTGAAATGAAGAGGAAAGATTGTATTGAATGAATTGCTGGATTTGCTGATTTCAAAGACAGTACAGTGTGTCGTGCTAGACAATATTTCTCGCATGAATATTACACATTTAGATTATTCTTCCAGGCTTTGAATATTGCTACCACATCTTGTCTGGTATTTAGAGATTCTTGATAAAATCCAAAGAAGAATCTGCAATGTTATCTGTCCTTACCTGGCATCTCGACTTCAGTCACTTTCCCACCACCGTAATGTATCATCTAGGTGCCGTTTCTATAAATATTTTCATGGTAATTGGTGTGATGAGTTTTCCTGTTTGATACCTCGACTTTATAAATTTAAGCGCAGTACTAGATTGGCAGCTAGGTCTCATTTTAATTTTACAGTTGAAATGGCTGCATGTAACCGTAAGTTTTATGCTAACTGTTTCTCCTCTCACACTTTTCCGGCCTCTAGGATTCTCATTAACTTCGATCTTCAAAAATTTAAATGTGATATTAATTGTTATCTTAATTTAGGTTCATTTAATGGTCTTTTTCTTTAATAATGTTTTTCTTTTTATCATATTCTTTCACACTCAGAAAGCCTTGCATCTTAGTGGATTTATTGCCTTGCTCAGAGTGGAACAATTAAAAATGTTATTAATTTTTTTTTTTTAATAATTTTTATCCCATGACATATGAATCACTGGAAAATCAAGACTGATATTTATTCGTACAAAAAGTACAAATTGTGGCACGAGGCCAATAAAGAGAAGGGGTAGAGGCTGGTCAACACTAACTATCTTATACCTAGCTAATCAGATTCGCGACCCATTCGTACATTACATTTTACCCATTCACCAAAAGAACTCGTCCATCACCAAACAATCCTTCAACCACCATAATACCACGTGCTCTCAAGGGAGACCTACCAAAATCGCGCCCCATGCCATAAAAATTTTAATGATGATATATATATACAATTCTAATAATGATAAAATGAGAGGGGAGGGAAATGAACCCAATAATAAACTTAAAATAAACACAAATATAAACTAAACATAATTGATGTTAGTAGGGACCGTCCAACCCATAAAACAGAGAGACCGCTGTATTCTGCCCAGGGGACAAAATCAAGAGACGCTCTCGCTAAAGGAGTGGGAAAAAGTATAAAATATTAGGCTGGAATTGGAAAATATATAACTGACCCAGTCGAGATGAAAGTGGGGCGGGGGGTCAAAACAAACTGGGGAGGTTGGGAATCTCGACTTGGATCAAGACTTAAAAAATCAAGACTTAAAAAAATTGAAGTCGTATTGTTTACATTTATAATATGAGAAATTCCTACAGGAACTACAGACATTAACTTCTCGACAGCGTTTATGACAAGTCTTTAAAGTATTTGTCTTATTCTTCTACTTATTGTATGCAATAAAAATTCTGTAAAATCTAGAATTTCCTCAAAATATAAATACTTATGTGTTTTTATTTTATTTTAATATTCTTCCCGATTATTTAAATTAAAAAGATAACCAGCCTTTCAACAGCTTTAGACGCAATGTATAACTCATTTGCCTCCCAATCTCCCCCTCCGTTCTGATGACGTAATAATAAAATTTTATGCATTTTTATATTTGACAAATATGTATATAAATAAAAAGAAAGAACAGTAAGATATAAAATCCGGTGTTCTTATAGATATTTTTATTTTTACAAAATAGTGCTCAATGTAAATTTACAGAGCATTAATATTATAAATTAATTGATTTAAAATATGTTTTTTTTCGCTACACAGTTCCAACCATGTTTCAAAAATAGAAGCTAAAAACCCCGAATTTAATTTTGAAATTAAATTAAAAGCATTAGTTCCATTTCATCTTCAAGCGAATTTTGGAGTAACTTTTAAAATTACCGGGGTTTAAAGACACAGCTAAAATCACGTTTCCATGGTTACAGAATATTGTATGGAACTGTGTAGCGAAAAAAAACCATATTTTAAATCAATTAATTTATAATATTATATTTGACAAATATATATCTCTAAAAATAGTTTTAGCTCCAAGATTATTTTCAGTTTGTAATATTGTAATTTTTGCACCTGCTTCATACTTATATTAAAAACTTGAATTTGTGGAAGTTTTTGACGTTACGAGCAAACGACTTTATATTAAACAATGGAAATCGACCGTAGCTAAGAACACTCACGAAGAGGGCTGTAAATGATTTTATCTAGAGTCGAAGTGCGGTAGTTTTTATGCCTAAAATCTACGGGGTGGGCCTTCAAAGCAAGTACCTGCAGGCTACAATTGAAAAAAGGAAAATAAAATAAATAAATAACAAGAGTAGAACCTAACAGCCCATCTTATCTCTGACCTATGCAGGTGGCTCAATGGAGGCAAGGACTGGTTTGTACAATTCAATATGGCCCAAACCAAACCAGTAATGATCTACCACCATCAAGAAGATGTTGAACTTACCCCTATCATGATGGATGGGACTTTTATGAAGGGGGCTTCTAGCCTTGAATGTCTACTATGACTCAAGCTCTCCCAAGACATCAAGTGGAACTCATCTATCTGATCTACTGTTAAAGGTGCTGGAAAAATGTCCGGTTCATTCTCCATTTAGTATCTGACTCCCCCCTGCTATAATCTAACTTTACAAAAGCCAGATCAGACTAACATATTGCTGCCATATTTAGGTTGGATCTGGTCAACCCTTACTTCGAAAGCCTCTACGCGGCCTTGCGGGTGATGAATTATTTTCCATCCTAAATCCCCTTTTCCATAGACGAAACCTTTCGAGCCTCGCGCTGCTATATCGCTATTTCGATGGCATGTGCTCTGAGGAACCTCATTCCTTAGTCACACCACCGTGGCTTTTACAATTGGAACCTACCATGCCATGCCGTTCGAATTCCAATAGTAAGAAGTAAGTTCCACTCGGACAGATTCTTCCTAAGGCCCGCTGCTTTGTGGAACAGACTCCCAGCAGAATGCTTTCCCAATCACTACGATCTTGACCTCTTCAAGTCGAGGCTTAATCGTTATCTTTCAAACATAACTTCATGAACTTCACTTCTTGCCACACAATATCCCTCTACCTTGAGTGGCTTTTGGGCCTTGTATTGGGTAAATATTAGTAAAAGAAACAGCTTTTGAGATCAAGCGCCATTCGATTAAAATGTGGGTAATTTCGGTCATGGGCTTTTATTGCCAAGCCCCACAGTAAAATGGACAGTTGCAAGCTGTTCGAAGATAGGGACGAGCCATAGGTCGGAGATGTAGAGTCACGTGGCTGTTGGACTTCTCGTTGGCTGAAGGGGAAGAACTGATCATTTAGTCTGACGTGGGGGAGAGAGGAGAGAAGTGGCAGTAGAGAATTTGGTACTCACAGAATATACAGAAGGCAAGAGGGTCAAAGAGAAACGGCAAGTAACTTACTTAACGAGCTTGTTTAAATGGATGGCAGAACGGGGATTGTGAGGAATAGATATACATTACTTAGAGCTACAAAGAATAGGAAGTTGTGGAGAACCATGATCAACATACATAACGAGTTTGTTTAAATGGATGGTAGAACGTGGATTGGGAGGTATAGTAAAGGGATAAACATTGCTTAGGGAAGTTGCGGAGAGCCATGATCAACCTATTTAACGAGTTTGTGTAAATGGATGGCATAAAGGGACTGGGAGGAATGGAAAGTGGATAAACATTGCTTAAAGCTACAAACGTTAGGATGTTTTGAAGAGCCATGATCAACATATTTAACGAGCTTGTGTAAATGGATGGTAGAACAAGGACTGGAAGGGATAGTAAGGATATAAATATTGTTTTGAGCGATAAAGGATAGGAAGTTGTGGAGAGTCATGATCAACATATTTAACGAGCTTGTGTAAATGGATAGTAGAACAAGGACTGGAAGGGATAGTAAGGATATAAATATTGTTTTGAGCGATAAAGGATAGGAAGTTGTGGAGAGTCATGATCAACATATTTAACGAGCTT